TTTTTATTGTCCCCTCCCTCTTTCGTTGTTTGTTCTCTGTGGAGTGCCTTAATCTTGGGCACATCAAATGCCCACATTCCAAGAGGCCCAGACTGTTCATGTTTCTTCCATGTTTAGGGAGCCAGTGTTTTCAAACTGCTGTTTACACTTCTACCCCGCAGACTATTCACTGAAGTCACCAATGACCTATATCCTAGCCAACAGCTATTAAATGGAAAAGGATACTCACAATGCTGATGTAACAATTTTTTCCTCTTACAAAAATGTTGTACAAAAGAACTTTCTCCTATTATCTTATTGGCATTAGGTCTGCACTGGAATTCAACAAACATATACTGAACGCTCAGCACATACGATTATTATACTAAGTGGGAGGGGATAAGGGAGTCATAGAAGATATGAAAATTAACTGTGAAATTTTAACATATTGGCTGAAACTTAACCAGGGCTATGATAGAGAGCTGAGATGAGAGAAGAGAGTGGGGCAGAGAGTAACTGAGGTCCTGGAAAGGCCTCTTTTAGGAAATGTGATCTGAGCAATGCCTTAGAGGTAAGAGGCAGAGGGGGTTGGGATGGGAGACACAGCCTTTCGGAACATGAGCAAAGGATGGGGGAGGACACTGAAGGGAGGTCTCAGGGAGTGCCCGGGTTCTGGTGGAGCTACAGTACCAAGTGCTTAGAACAGCAGATGTGATCACAACATATGCTAATTAAGGCAGATGATAAAAGGCATTGGTGGCAGACATTGCTGGGTGCTCACCAATGTCTATTTTTCCCTTCTTTAAAATAGAATGGCTTTTTTCTGGAGTGGGTGATGAGTTAGCAGTGGAACACTACATTCACTGTCCTCCCTGGCATACTGGGGAGCCAAGTGACTAAACTTGGGGCAACTGTACGTAAACAGAAGTTGTTGGGTGAGGCTTTTGGAACTTCAAAGCCGCCTGAAAAGGTGGCTGACTAGTATGCCCTCCTCTGTCTTCTTGCCTAGGATGTAGAGCCACTTTGTGAGCATGAGGTAAATCTTGAAAATGGAAAAGAGGCAGAGCTAGAAGTCAGAGTATTAACCCTAAATGGCCAACTTAGCAATTTAGGATACTGTTTTTTGTGTCACTGTTATTTGCAGCCACATACAATTACAATGTAAGTCCAATTATACTACAGTTCCTAACTGGCTATCCTTGAGCACGAGGCTGTGGAATCTGGACTTAATCTGTGTTTACCATCAAGCTAGCAAATGTTTTCTTCAGATACACACTTAGGATAAAAATGTTATGAGTAAATCCTAGTAACGAAATACAACTTGTCAAATTTATTTTATATCTACAGTATCACATACTCATAGAAGTCTAAAGAACTTCATTTCTGTATCT